GGACAAATATTGAATTATTTTCATGGCGACACAGTGTTTGCAATGCATAACCTGCATGCTACAAATGTTGCGTTATTAGACAACTACCGGCAAATTTCTGGGTGGTAATAAATGCGATTTAGTAGATCTGGACTTTCCCAATCAAACTTCGGTATCACATGTACTCTCAGGCCGGGAAAAGCCGAAATATAATATCACAATCGCGACCTGCAAAAATGAATCCAAGGGTGTTATCGGATTTGGTTTTCAAACCTCCGACAATTTTTATGTATTTCGCCGGGTCTTTCTTGGGGCAATTTACTGATTTTCTCAAATTCTCAGGTCTCTGCGATTTTTTTCAAATTCCAGGGGCCCCCAGGATCTGGCCGTCGCAAGGAGAGCCAGGAAACAAGACTTCCATTTTACAGTACACAAAATCTTTCATGAACTTGAATTTATGCAAAATGATTAGGCCTACCTGATAAAAATAAGTTTCTAGATAGAATACCATTGTGTAGGTAAAAAGAAGAATTTGAGTACAAAACATTGGAAATTGACCAATACTATTTCCCTTCGAACCCAGGAATGTGTGTAACTAGGCTACTCGGTACGACTTATCAACTAATTCCAGATCTAATGTGTTCACACATTATGAATAAAAAGCTAAATCTAAAGATTGAGCGTTGTTTTCAGACTTGACACCGCTTCACTGTGGCAACTGACACCAGCATCAATCAATTGCCACCGCGTCACTCTGTGGCAATTGACGCTACCAAGAAAAAATCCTTGAAAAAGCACCGACAAGAGTATTAGATACCTAGATCTAGATCTAAATGGTATCCAGATTGGAAGTGGCTATCCTCACCCGGGGTGAGAATAAAAATACGATCGACCTCTCACCCCGGGTGAGAAGACCTGTTTTTCCTAATTTCGAAATACTTTCTAGAGTCTATCGGTGTGGATGATCAAATGGATAAAAGCAAAGAAAAAATTACGTTATAGCACAAAAGTAAGCTAATTTGATCGTCTACAAAGATGCTATATATCTATTTCACTTCTCGAATCGAGCCGAACTACGCGGGTCGCCATTTTGTTTTGCCCAGACGTTCTCGCAAGATCTACTCCTCCCCTCTTCTCTCTCTCTTTCTGAATACTGTCTATCAGTGTGGACGATCAAATTGACCAAAACAAAGTAAAAAAATGATGTTAAAACAAAAAAAAAGTAAATTTATTTGGTCGTCTACAAAGATTAGCAATGACAATGAGAAATTAAATTTTCATCCAAATTGCTTTAAAATGGGCTTAAATGAAAATAGAGTAAATTCTAAGAACTATGGTTTTTAAATTTTAAAAATCCATTGATAAATAAAAAAGTTATTGGGATTTTTGTTTGCAAAATGTTGGAGGACCTTCATATAGGAAAAAATCGCCAAAATGTGGGACATGTTTTGATATATTTTGAGGAAAACCTGTTCATAAGTCAGTAATGAATTGGAGCATATGAATGAAACTTGGCATGTCCATGTGATTTTTAGTGCCGAATCTAGTTCTGCTATCACTTTTCGATGTCTTCATTACTTTGGATCTTAAAGACTGATATTTGCGTGAAATTTGTTGAATTGCGTGACATCGTTTTTACCGCGACGCGATCACCCCTTCTAAAACTCAGTAAAGCACTATCGGGAAAACCCGCGATGTAGTCATCTGTGACCCATTTGGTTATAGGCAGCCAATCACATGCCGCCTAGCGATCACGCGCCTCTTGCATGCCGGCACCTCGCGTTTGGAATGCTCGATCAAGTTTCTAGATCTAGTGTTTTATCAAATGATGGGTGGTAATTTTAAGTTGGTATGGAAAATCTACTAAACGCAAAGATCTGAAATTTTACAGCAATATAGAAGACATGGGGCGCTTGTGTGGTCGGCAATCAACCCGCAGCTCCGCTTAGTTTTCGAACCGCAGAGGAAATTCGCACAAACACAGCAATATCTCCGGTTCTAGTAATCGTTCGGGATTGTACGCTGGCATGTCGTTAGTTTAACCTTTCCTCTGGTTGGTTGCCGAGTTTCATTTATTTTCGTCCAGGAGTTTCCCCATAACTATACTAAGAAGAGAGTCACTTCTGATTCCGAGCGGCCCAAAAAATACCCCTCACGTGGAGGCCGATTTCCGACCCAAGGCGCAGCGGGCGATTGGCATTGCTACAAGGGAGTGTATACAGACCCGGTAACCGGGAATTAAGTCACAAAGTATACAGACCCGGTAAGGGAACTCTTTTGTGATTTCGGAGAGTTTCCAGCGTCCTCTTGGCTCAGGGTAGACTTAGGTTCTTCTAGATCTATGGTCTAGATCTAGATCTAGGCAGACAAACTTAAATCTTTGATCTAGTTTCGCGGCTAGCCTAGATCTAAATGAAGATTGCGGATGTCTTTTCGATGAACGATCGTTTTTCCTCCGTTTTGGAGTTGGAGGAATCACAATTTGAAGAAAAGAACAAGTTACAATGTCATAATTTCAATCGAGCAGCCGCCCCCCTCTCTCTCCTCTGTGGTGTATCGCTCACCCTCTCTTTTTCTTTGTTTGTCTCTGTATTTCTTTTTCCCCACCTATTTCCCACTCTATCTTTCTCTCGTTCCCTCCTGCCAACTGGGGCATGTCATATACATTTTGCTAGCACCCACCCCCCCTTCTCTCTTTCTCTCTCTCACACACACACTAGATTTCTACCGGGTCTGGGGGTTGAAACTTCCCGAAATCACAAAAGGGTTCCCCTGCCGGGTCTGTATACTTCGTGACTTTGTTCCCGGTTACTGGGTCTGTATACACTTCGTTGCTACAAAGATGCTACGGCTATTTCACTTTTCGAATCAAGCCGAACTACGCGGGTCGTCATTTTGTTTTGCCCGGCAGTTCTCGCGCTACTCCTCTCTCTCTCCACTGCCCACAGACAAAATTGTACACTTTTAGTAGGGTAACTAAAAGTAGTAATAGAACGTTTGTTCACAGCACAGAATTCTACAATTTTTCTGTTATAATCACAGTGTAGAATTCTGTCGGGTAGAATTGGTAAGATTGTATTTTACCGGACCACCGGTCGGAACTACGTTCGCTGTGGCGCCCCTGGTGCCTAGTGGCCCGCTGTTCTTCGTTTCCGAGCTCCCCATCTCACTTTCCTACTCAGTTTTCTACGTCCTCACTCTTCAACTGCCAGCAATCGACTGACGTCTCTAACCGGGTTTTTCAGTCATCACGACCGTGCCACTGTGCCCTTTGACCCATGACCCTGACACCTTGAGGCTAATTGGTCAATCTAATCACGTGGTCCACTATTCTTATTTGCTCGCGACTGCTGGCTTGGCCTAGGCCTACTCCTGGTGCGGCAAAGTACAATGGAGGGCTAGAGATGCGCACGAGAGCTCATTTGCATAATTGCAACCCCATTGGCCCTGCTCGCGACTTATCATGCTATTGTTTATATGTGTGTGTGTGTCTTTAAATTATCATTGCCAGGGGGGCTAGCCCTCCTGAACCCCCCCCATTGATATGTAAACACGACTGTCCGCTCATGTTATTGTTTCGCATTTTGTGTGTTTTCTTTATTATAGTTTCCAGGGGGGCAAGCCCCCCTGAACCCCCCCCACTGTTGGTTTGATACACGGTGGTCCACCAAAATTAAATCCCCTGCCCTCTCTCAACCACCACCTCTCGCTCACCTCGCTTCGCCAGTCGCCGCTGACTTCGCTGTGCGTGCGCGAACGTCGCCTGCGGAACTACCTTTTGCCCGCACGCAGAGTACTATGAGTGCGTAGTTAGGCTAGGAGTGCGTAGTAATCACGGGCCGAGACGGGTGGTCCGGTAAAGTACAATCCAGCCTTCTGTGGTTCAGGGTGAACGCAAAATTGGTTGGCCTAGATATCTAGATCTAGGCTATAATGGTGAACGCACACCGGGTGAGAATAGCCAAAACTCGCCTGGCCATCCAGATAATCATGTGTGAGCCAAGATCAGTGCTTTTGTTTGAAATTGTCATGAACCAATGCCCAGAACTAGATCTAGATCAAGACTCTAGGCCTAGAGTCTAGCAAGAAAAAAGCTCACACGGTATGGTATCATGGAGTATGGTCATTAGACTGCACCTGACTGTGAAAGGCTAGGCTAGAGCTAGAGTCTAGGCTTTGAAAAGGAGACAGGTCTCTAGATTCTAAAAATCATCTGGACTCTAGATCTACATACATGCAAAACATATTCACCTCCTCCTCTCCTTGTCAAGATAATATATCAAAGAATAATTTTATGAAGAAAGAACCAAACTCTACCAAACGCTAGGCCATGTTCTCTTCTCCACTTTCATCACACTTGGCTTCTATTGAAGCGGCGGAGTAGGACTATCGGCAAGCATGCAACAAATGAAACCTCGGGGCACAATGGGCTCCGGTTTTGGGATAAAAAATGCAGATTGTTACGCCAAAAACGAACAAAAAAGAAATAAAAGCACAAAAACAAACCAACAAGGCTTCGGTAAGTTAAAGATGACTACATTATCATCAATACAAATCAACAATACCTACGATCAGTTCGCAGGATACCCATGGGTAGTTCAGAAGATCCACGATAGAATAAACATGGCGGCGATGATATATTCATGCGCGTACCATAACAATCATTGACCCTGAAAACGATGGACAGGGTGAAAAGCTTTGCAACCAGCATAGCATTGATTAAAATGCAAATATGTTCTCCCTTACCATCAATTTTAGGTAGAATGACATTCTAAAGTAGTTATTTTAGATTTTTACAAGCGAACTATTTCAGTCAACAAAGATGTCGTCCATGCCGAGAGTTTCCGAGACGAAACAAAGAAAAAAAAAGCTCCAAAAAGGTAAAGAAAACAAATACTAATCTAGATCTACCCATTCTCGTGAGGAAAAATTCACTTGCGAATAAATATCGTCAGAAATCACAATTGAATGTTTAACACGTATTTAGTTGGAATATTAATTTTTAGAGTTTCATTTTCTGGGAATATTACTTTCTAGTAAGAAACATCAACCTTACCGGAAACGAGTGTTTGTAAATAAGAGCGAGAACAAAACCATGGAGTGGTGAGTAATCAGAGCAAGCCGCAACTGACTGGGTAGGCCTATTGGCGGGTTAAATTTCGGTTCCGAAACACAAAGTAAAATTTGCTTACGACTCGGGGCTTAAAAAAAACCTGTTTCAGCTGCAGATTACTAGATCTAGAGTCAATACTCCCATTTTTACCCCTACCAAAAAGTGTGTACCGTATAATATTATATGAAGCTATCTCGTCAGCTGAGTAACAACTTAGTTTAGAAAAAGAAGGGGGGAAAGGCTAAAAAGTAAAGGTGGGGGATAGAAAAACCACTCGGCTCTTGAACTCACTGCAGCACAAGGAAAATGGTAGGAGCAAGAAAAAGAATGATAAAACAACAAAATGTACTTCAAGAAAGAGTTGCAAAAAGAAATTGATAACAAGGAAAAACAAAATCGTGTCGAATGTAAGCTACACGAAAAGAAAACACCCCCCCCCCCAAAAAAAAAAAATAATAAAAAATTACGCGCTCAGAACTGTAAGACATAAAAACACGTGTCCTTCACGTTGACAACAATGTTCTATTTAGTTAACGAAGCAATTAATCTGTTTGTTCTCAAACTGTGGCCAGCTCAAATTGCTGTTATAATTATATTTTTAACAAAACAGGCTAATAAAAAACTTGATAATAGTTATGTATGGAATAGAAGGTCTCAATACGTTTTGAACTGTAGTTGCCTTAAACGCAGTAGCAAGATTTTAATCGTCCGCACAAAACAAATAAGATTTAGATATAAAAAATATCTAAGCAATGTATAGCCTGTGCTAAAAAGACCAAGCATGTATTGTCGTGCTGTACATTGGTTACATACATGATAATATCACATTTATAGGCCTACATGCTTGTAACGATACTAAAAGACCCATAGATCTATCTAATACAGACACCCGTGCACAGTGCACAGTCATTATCGACAATCACAAAATTACGGCGTAATTCGCACTGTGATTTATGGAAGCGTGGCGCTTACCTTACACATTCGGAGTCGATTTGTCGTCAAGATTTACACAGATGGTCTGGTCCACCTCAACGTCAACCGCATGTCGTTCACAAGACGACTAAAGCTCGGACTGATTTAGTCATACATGCATGTCGTGTGCTTGCAATTGGGTTACACAGTGCAGAGATGCATCAGCCATCCGCGCGACAAAGAAACACTTTGGAGGCTGCCCTAAGAGGACTGCGCAGGACTGCGTTTTCTTTGTAGTAGGTCGTACACAATTAGGTCAGTGCAATGGCCAGAGGTGCGTCCACTCGGGGTTCGGGTATGGCAGTCCC